GTGACATACGTCATTATATCCAATGTGCTGATTGGCTCACGGCTGTCAAGAAAACAAGTCACGCCAGCGCCGGCGCTGACAAGCCAACTTTCAGCCAAGAAAATAAAGATTATCCGGCAAATATCATCTCTTTTCTAAGAAGATTTCACTGAAATAATCTCTTTAGAAACTCTACTGATACGTTTCTGTTTTCACCGGTCCGATTTCGTACAATGAGAAGCCTTTGCAAGCGGTTTTGAGCCGCCGTAAATCACATCGAGAATAATTTTCGATCCGTGGCCGATATGTCACGCAGCACGAAATTCAAGTCCCAGGCGCTAAAAATCGTCCTTAAAAACGCCGAAAAGAGCCTGGAGAACAGCTTGAACTATTTTTCAAAATGGTGGCTAGATTTTGTGATGAAAACAACACATACGGTGAAGAAAACAGCTCGCGTTCGTCAAGAGTTTCATCCGAGCGATTTTGAAAGTGTGCAGTCAAAGATGGACAATTTTTGGGAGATTTCGGGAGTTTTATAAAGCAAAAACCGCAATGAATTCAACTCGAAGAGAACCAAAAATTGTCGAAAACAAAAGTATTGGATGTGGTCTTCAAGTTCCGCATGGGGATGGAGATTCTAATCTTCAGCAAGAGAGAGCAACCCAAAGCAAAGGTCAGTGGTTTGCGTAAACAAGACATAATATACAAAGGTTAGTATGGCAGATCCTTGTTAGCATTCGTAAAATTTTCAAGTGGAAAAAGCCGCAAGAATTTTACTTCGCTAAGCTACAAAACCCTTTCCAATTCAAAACTATTACCACAACTGAAGAAATTTTCATCGGGACAGTGAAATTCAAGTACCTCGTTCTTTGCAGCGATCGACTGAAATACGACATCTATACATTTTTCTTTTAGAGACCTGAGAGCACATGCAAACACAATTGTCACGCCTCGTGGGGGTCGTGGTTCGGAATTTCTGGCTATGCATATCCTGGGTTAGCTTAATCTGGCTTTGAAAAACCCGGCCCAGGAGCTTCGCTATCAGGCTTGGCTAAATCTAAATATCAATTTATCTACAAATCTGGCGATACTCTCAAGCCATTTACTCATGTGTTTATGACTGTCAAAACTATCGCAAAACCGAGCCTGCGATAAATTTAAATTAGTTTAGAAAATTTAAAAATTAGCCTTCATGGTTCACGTTCTCCAGACAATGCAGAATTTGGTCATTTCACATTGTTGTTTTGCAGAACGCTGCGACAATCGTGGCCGAATAGGGGAGGAAGGTGAAGTTTTCATGCGTCAAAATGGCGGACGAAGTCACCGTCCAAAACAAAAGCGAAGATAACTTTTTCTGAAGACGAGGCTAAAAAGTTAATAGGGACCTTACGCAAAACACGACGGCAACGGCAACGGGAACGTCACCAAACAAAAGCTTTAATGAGCAAAACAATGGCTGTGCACGTGCGTTATAATTCTTGGTACATTTCTTTGCCGTCCTCTGCAAAAACAGCAACGTGAAATGAACAAATTCTGCGTTGTCTGGAGAACGTGAACCGCATCGGATATTTTTCGTATTTCTATTTGGAATTGAAAGCATTCGTGGCATATTCTGCAGAGACAAGTTTTAATACCGACAGACACACTGGATAGTTCCAAATAAATGCGAAATTCCAAAGCAAAATAGAAACACATTTTTGACTGGGTGCCGTCCTCGCCGTCCCGTCGTATATGCGTAAGGCCCTAATA